AAAATTAAATAAGAAAAAACTGAGACTAGCCTTGAAAACTCCTTGAGCAGACAAAACCAGTTTAGTCACACAAGCAAGGCTTAATTTAACTTTGAGAGACTAACCTGACCTAGGTCATTTATTGCTTATGCTTCTGAAAATCGTAAGACAAAGTTTAACTGTTTTCCAAGGCTGATATGAGGTAACCACTGACCAATTCCCTACCATTTAGGAAAATTCTAATAATATAAGCCATCACTGTGAAGAAAAAACATCACTGCTATCATGCTATGTAAACTACTTTATAACAGTACACCCCTGGGCCTCATTCCATGTTTTGGTTACAGTGCTTTGGTTCAGAAACTGTCTTTTTGGTGTGTGTGCAATAAACGTTCATTAACTACTACTTTGATGATTAATTGACTTTGTTATTTTTCTATGATTTTTTTGGTAAATTATTTATTCATTTATTTAAGTTGTGCTGGGTCTTCATTGTTGTGTGGGCTTTTCTCTAGTTGGGCAAGCAGGGGCTACTCTCTAGCTGCAGTGCACGAGTTTCTTCTCATTGTGGTGGCTTCTCTCATGGAATACAGGCTCTAGGGCACTCAGGCTTCAGCAGTTGTGGTGCATGTACTTAGCTGCTCCTCAGCATGTGGGATCTTCCCGAATCAGGGCTTGAATCTGCGTCTCTTGCATTGGCAGGTGGATTCTTATCCACCGCGCCACCAGGGAAGTCTTTCTGTGATCCTTTGACAAGTCACAAAGATCACCATTGATTGTGACAAGGCACAACTGATTAAATTGTTGGTCATTGGTGATTGAACTTAGTCTTATTCAGCCTCTCACCCTTCTTCCCTCCTTAGAGGTCAGGGTGGGGGTGGAAACTGAAAGTTCCAACCCTCTAACATTGCAGCTTGATTCCCCTGACAACCAGCCCCCATCCTAAAGTTATCTAGGGGATTTCAAAAGTATCCTCATTAACATAACCAAAGACACTTTGATTGCACTTGTTCAGTCACTAAGTCCTGTCTGATTTCTCTGTGACCCCATGAACTGCAGCACACCAGGATTCCCTGGTGTGTGTCTTCCAGAGTTTGCTGAAACTCATGTTCATTGTGTTGGTGATGCCATGCAACTATCTCATCCTCTGATGCCCTCAGTCTTTACAATGAGTCAGCTCTTTGCATCAGATGGCCAAAGTATTGGAGCTTCAGCATCAGTCCTTCCAATGCATATTCAGGGTTGATTTCCTTTAGGATGGACTGATTTGATCTCTTTGCAGTCCAAGGGACTCTCAAGAGTCTTCTCCTGCACCACAGTTTGAAAGCATCAATTCTTCAGTGCTCAGCCTTCTTTATGGTCCAACTCTCACATTTGTACATGATTACTGGAAAAATCATAGCTTTGACTATACAGAGCTTTGTTGGCAAAGTGATGTCCCTGCTTTTTGATATACTCTCTAGGTTTGTCACAGCTTTTCTTGCAAAGAGCAAGTGTCCTTTAATTTCATGGCTGCAGTGCTGTCCTTCGTGACTTTGGAGCCCAAGAAAAGAAAATCTGTCACTGTTTCTCTTCCCCATCTATTTGCCATGAAATGTTGGAACTGGATGCCATGATCTTAGTTTTTTGAATGTTGAGTTTTAAGCCAGCTTTTTCAATCTCCTCTTTCACCCTCATCAAGAGGCTCCTTAGTTCCTCTTTGCTTTCCCTGATTGCACTTATCACTTAAGAAATTCTAAAGAGTTTTAGGAGCACAGTGCCAGGAATGGAGATAAAGACCAAATATATATTTTGTTATAAAGAAAGCAGCTCTTTTGCCCTTTTCCTATTTGCCCATTTCTGGTTCCCCTGTAACCTTAAAAGAACCTGATCATAGGAATGAGATCACCAGGCAATTTAAGCAAACTCCTGACTTATGTTCTCCTGAATGCACACCATGCCTCGCCTAACATGTTGATTCTTTTCCTAGACAGAAGTAAGTAGGCCTCCGCCCCCAGTAGCCCTTATAAGTAATCCTGCCAGCAAGATAACATCTGAAGAGTCAGCTAGTCTGCACACAAAGGAGAAGGATGCAGAAGCCAACCTCCTGCTTCAATGATTCCCTGAGATTCTTCCTCCTTTTCCCTTTAAAAACTGTCATGGCTGATTAGAATCTTCAGAATTGGAGTGAGGACAATACACCTCCTCTCCAGGTTGCCTGCTTTTCTACTGACACTTGACCCTCCACTATCGCCTTTCGAACAAGCAGTCAAATCTGCCTTTAGTAACAAGAAAGCAAAATATCGCATATACCAAACCAAAAATGTTCACTGGAAAGATTTATTTTAGCAGCTCAGTTTTATCACATTCTACACATTTGTTCAATATATTTATATTTGTTCTGCATAGATGGCATATTAACTTTTATAGTTGACTTTTTCATTGGATATTTGCTGCTACCTGGCCTGAAGAAAGAGTCAGGAGGATAAATAAAACCCGCATGGTAGAAACAAAGAGCAGCGTTTCGGTTCTCGGCAGAACTTTACTGTGGTGTGAGCTTCAGTGTCTGCTTTTCTTCCTCTTCTTTCTCAAATCCTGAGCAGACGAGAGATCTTCCCTTGGGATATCGAGCACAACACTTACGCAGTTCTTCGATGACAGCCTGACACTTAGATTCCATGTAGTTGTTGGCTGAAAGACAGACAGGCAGACCCTAGTCATGATCTCATAGGACTCAGGCACAGGGATGTTGAGACCTGAACTTCCCAGTCCTTTTCACCTTAATGTACCTACAGACATGGAAGAAAGAGGATGTAACCACGTCCACTGAATTCTTTCGAGACCCATCAACAGCTTAATAAGGAAGAAAAGTATGATTTACAAAGTGCTCAAAAGATATTTTCACATCTAATTTCTTTTTCTTTAAGGCTGATTACTTATGTGCCTTCTTCTAGGGCAGCGTTTTCTAACCTCCTCTCTCTTTTTTTTTTGTAGGGAGGGGTCACTAATCCCTTGCACATTAGTTTGCACTCAGTTTAAGGTGGCTGCTGGATGTTCCCAAAGAAACCTTTGCATTAGGGGTTGAGAAACTGCAGCCTCAGGGTTGAATTCTGCTCTTTTTTTAACAGCTGAGCTAAGAATAAATTTATTTGGGGACTTCCCAGGTGGCGCTAGTGGTAAAGAACCCACCAGCCAATGCAGGAGGCATAAGAGATGAAGGTTTGATCCTGGGTTGGGAAGATCCCCTGGGGAAGGGCATGGCAATACACTCCAGTATTCTTGCCTGGAGAATCCCCATGGACAGAGGAGCCTGGTGGGCTGTAGTCCATGGGGTCGCACAGAGTTAGACATGACTGAAGCGACTTCCCATGCATGAGCTAAGAATGGTTTTTATAGAAGGTTGTAAACACACACCCACACCCACAGCCACACCCACCCACCCAAAGTCCTCCTGACCTCCAAAGCCTAAAATGTTTCCTGTTAGGTCCTTTACATAAAACATTTGCATATCTCTGCCAAAGATAGACCCTAAGTCTAGGAGGATTTGATCTAAAGGTTCTAGGTAAGCTGATTGATTTGAGTCCCCCAGTACTAAAATGGGGTGCATGGGGGTTAGTCTGGGATAGGAAAGACAATTCAGCTTAGCAAGAGTATGGTTGGGTGGCTAAGTCCAGGTTTGGACCCAGACCAAAGGAGTTCCAATCGTCACTGTGCCCCTTACTAGTTCTGTGACCCTGGACAAGTTACAAAGCTTATATCCATCTCATGGGTGAAAGGATTAAGTCAATGTTATTTAAAGCCCTTTCAATTGCGATTGTCATCCAGCGAGTATTTAATGGTCTCTATTTCAGTCCTTCCAGCTTTCACCGTAGCAAGGGGGTGTTACCAGCTCTAACTTGATGTGTATTCTCCTTTAGCCATATGATGCTAATTCAAATCAGGAAAGATTCAGAATCACCTAAGAATTTATGTGGGAGAAGAAATTATGAAAAGCATTCTTTGCAGGCAGGCGGGCAGGGGGTGGATGACCTGGGCCCATGGTAATGAAAGCATGGAGTCCTAACCACTGGACTGCCAGGGAATTCCCCTTCCTTTTTTGTCAATTTGGAGAAAGGAAAGAAAAGGATGAATAAAATGGCATTCTTATTTTCCATTAACGTTTCAGATTAAAAGATTTAAAAAATATTGCTTTCATCATAAATGGAAAAGTCCAAGAATGAAAGTTAAAGGTCAATGGAAATACACAAACAAGGGTTTTCTTTGGTGGTGAGTCTTTGGGTGAATTCTGAACATTTTCTCCTCTTTTGTTTTTATATTTTCATGGGGATCCATGTCTGTTACTTTAATAATGGGAAAATGATAAAAAAAAAATCAGTTTTCAAATTCAGATAGCCTTGTAGCTTTCTGCTAGTAACCACTGGCTGATTTAAAAAACTAAAATCTTCTAGCACTTGGTCCAACAAAATGGACAAATCATATCAAATATGCTTTAGTTGAAATTAACTTTTGCCTTTAAGAGTTAGTTGCTGAATCCCAATTGTATTTTCACCCCCACACCTTCTAACCTGATTGCTCTTAAAAAGTGAGTTGTCAGCCACCAAAGTGAGTTTGTAAAGTATGACCAACCCATTTAAAACTAGTCTTTTTTAAAAATGACTTTGCTCAGCTTAGTGATTATCAACTCTGGCTGTGTATTAAAATCACCTGGTTAACTATTTTGATTGAGTGCTACCCAGACCCCAGCTGCAGAGAGTGTGATTTAATTGTTCTAGGCAAGTTTTTGAAGTTCTACAGGTGATTCTAAATGTACAACCAGGATTTGTTAACCCTAAGCTTAGGTCACATTGCTTTATTTTCTGCCATCTTTGGTGATATAATGAGGAAAATCTTGAGGATAAATTAATTACAGAAATATTATATTGTGAGCAGAGTTAGTATTGTCTGTTGATAAAAAGAACACTTGGTCTCTTGTTAGTTCACAGATAAATTGGAAACATAGAAAAACCATTTAACGTACTACCTTGTAAACATTTCTGTATCTCACAGGCTTGTTTCTGGCACGGATCCTTCTGCGGCATATCCAGAAAACTAAAATAAGAAAAATGATGTTTATTTTGTTTTTATACATAAAGACTTTAAACCCCCTCTAGATGGAATTTTCTTCTGAGATAAGCAGTATGCTCTTACAATTGCTGGAAAACAATTACACTAAAACATTCTTCCCGTTCAGAGGATGAATATGCTGTATTTGTATAATATTGCATTTCGCTTGGAAGATATAAATAGCTTGAAAAAAAACCCTTGAATTCAACTCATCTTGACCACTGTAAACCAACATTGGGCTAGAGGAGCCAGAGCTGCAACCTGACGGCTCTATGACTTACAGAACCATCTTTATAAACGATTTAATTCCCTGAGCCTTTTTCCTAATTATTGATGTGTAAAATAGGGATAATACCTACCTGAAAGCACTGATGGAAGGATTAAATGTCATAAAGGCGATAAACTGCATAGAATAGTGCCTGGAAGGCAGTAAGGACTGAACACATGATAGCTATTATTCCCGAGATTTTTTAACAAGTAAAACCTTACTTTTAATGTACATAAATTGCTATGAGTATTTTAACTCAGGAAATGTCTTTATCGGGTAGTGAATCAGCAATATTTGGTGCTATTACTACTTCCTGAGAAAGGTGCTAGGTAAGCAGTTAAAATTTTTCTTGGAGTTCTTACAGAAACCAACTTCAGATATTTGAAACCAGAGAATAAACTTAAGTGCCCATGATTCTGATCAGCAACTTCTAATAATGTGAAGACACCATTTCAGAAAGGAAAAAGGCCCAGGAGCCTTGGTAGCTATTTCATGAATGCAAATAATCTCCTTTCTCTCTTTTTTCCCCTCAGAGCCCCCTAACTTCTCAGTAGATCTGAGTTAGGTCAGTACTGGGATGGGAAACACTGGCGCAAAACCTAGGATATTTACAGGACGGGAGAAGGAAAGGCAGGTGAATTGCTGCAGGGCAAATAAGCGACAAAGAGATGCTGATGCTGCTAGCAGTTGCTCTCTTCTCTCTAAATCAGTACCAAGTCCTTGGTGATCGGGGCATCTGTTCTGTAGCAGGTGCTGACTTTTGTGGGATTCATCAGATCCCAGGTCCAGCAGATGATGTCCATTAACGGGTCTATGGCAATTTCCAAAGGAGTCAATAGCAAGTTACGTATCCTAACTACGTGCTTGTGTTGGCTTGCTTTCTGCCTGCATAACCCTTCCTCTGCAGTTCCACTTTCCGTGTTCTTCATGGCCCTTTCTAAACTTCTGTGTTCTTGAGCAGTTTTTCACCCCGTGCCCCACCCCACCCCCAGGCCCACAGGTGGGTGCACTGCAGTAGTGAATGTCGTGATTGTCATTTACTGAACAGAACACTGGAGCATCTCTTCCTAGAATCCCAGCACCTGGGGGGGGGTGGAAAAGAAAAGATCATTAGCATCACCACGATCAGAGCGAAAAAGAAGCAGCCGGGTAGGGATGGGGGAGAGAGAAAATACATACCCGGTTAATCATCAGGCAAAAGCTTAAGCAACAGCTCCTGTACGCCCCTGACCTGCCAGAAAAAGAAAAGTTTATAGAGTACTCTGTCATAAGAGGCCCAGGACAATGAAAAAAAAAAACATGATTAAGCAACAGGCCTACCATTAAATGATGCTGGATTTGCCACAAGCGAGAGTTGTTGTCCATGTAGCGCTCCTCAGGGTAGAGTTGCCACATGAGAGGTAGCTGGGAGGTGAGAAGGTGGCTTGGCCTGGCTGCGTCACCTAAAGGAACCTGAACTTGCTGAACTCGGGCCCTTAGGAAGCTCGTCTCCTGGTGGAGAGAAGCGATCACACAGAAAACCAGAGACTTCAGGATGGTGCGATGGATGTGCTTGAAAGCAAAAAATCGATCAAGAAATCCGCAAAGGAGAAACAATTACCTCTTCCAGGACGGCCACCCACGTGCGCTGGTACTCGTCGCGGTAGACACCCTCTTGGTGAACCCAGAGGCGATCGGGTGGGGCCCCCACATCCTGTCCTGCCATCCTGGGCTTTGGGGTCCAATGCTAGCCCTGCTTTTCTCCAGCTAAGCCTGCAGCACCCGTGCACAGGACACAGGTGTGACTTTGGGGCTTGGACTGAACACACCCATGAGCCAGGGGACCTGGTACTAGCAACCACCAACTAGAAGCCAACCTCTTTGACGCCTACTCGCACTGTCTACACTGAACCCGGGGCATCTGAAGCTCGTGGCCGGTCTGAAACTTGGGGCAGAACCTCGGGTGAGGCTGCTGACGGCGAAGCACTCGAGAACTTGGGGAGGGAAGGGGTTCTGGGGACACGTACGAACAGCGCTAATGGGAAGCCAGGGGTCGGGGGCTGGTCTCGCAGTCTTTGCATTCCGCAAGCAGCATTGGACAAAATGTAGTGAGCCATGGAGTATGCACAGCAGTGCACAGGACACACTTATTGGGGCAGGAAAGCAGTAGAACAGACGCATGCATGCCATCCGTCCCCAAGTAAAAGCCCTTTCCAAGCAGTTTCCATCTTAAAAGGTAAGACTGTGCAGGTCAAATTATGTAATCATGTATGTGGCTTTCTAAATGGCAATCAGAATTTTATTTTAAAGGGCAAACGACCTATTTACCAGTTTTCTTAGAAAGCTTACTTATAGGAGCTAGGCATTTCCAGAAGGCAGTTTTCTTTTTAGGGAAAATATATAAGGTCACATCATGGAATGTTTCAGTTCCAAGAGACTCTGGGATCATGAAGGTTCAGAGTTGACAGACAGCAAATGAAAGTTACCCATCTCGTTTCATTTTTATGCTTTGGGGTGTCACAGGAGCCCATTCTCCCACAGACGGATGGCTTTACATTCTGTTTTCCCAAGTCAGAAGAGCAGAAAAGCCCACCTGCTCTTTGAGAGGTGTAAGTGAAGCACACTTTCGGGGCCAACTCTTATGTAACACAAACTCAGCTCTACCATGAGGATCCTCTGCCCACTTCTGGATCAGATTTCAGGGCCTCACAATAACTTGACCTGAATTTTGCAGGAATGAACCTTTGGGGGCCAGGTTACAGCATCATGGGGTAGCTTCCCTGGACCTCTACATTAGGCAGGGTGCAGACATGCCATTGGGGAATCCACTCCAAAAAAACAGAGGCCTTCTATTCCCACTGGGTGACTTAGGTAGGAGAGGGGTTGCAATACGTCTTGGGAGGTTGCTAAACCCTCAAAATGAGATTGTCAAGAGCAAACAAGAAGCCAGAACGCAGGGTGAAGTCCGAGAGGAGAACTGAGATGAACCCAGCCTTCTTTGCCAGAACAAGCTGAGTCATTTGTTGTTGTTTTTCCTTAACATGAGTTAAGGAAATTTTTAGTTTACCTTCCTTGTTAGTTTACCTTCACTGAAAGGTATGTGGAAATATGTCTGAGAGAGGGAGGAAATGGTTTGATTGGCATGAATGATTTATGAGCATCACAGTTGCTTTGTCCATTGTACCCTGAGTGGACCTGACTCTGAGCTTATCATACCTTTTGTCTTATGAGTAAGTAAGTAAGTGTTAGTCGCTCAGTCGTGCCCGACTCTGCGACCCCATGGACTGCAGGCCATCAGGCTCCTCTGTCCATGAGATTTTCCAGGCAAGGATACTGGAGTGGGTCATCATGCCTTTCTCCAGGGGATCTTCCCAACCCAGGGATAGAACTTGGGTCTCCTGCATTGCAGACAGATTCTTTACCGACTGAGCTACAAGGAAAGCCCTTTGTCTTACACGGCTCTCTTATTTCAAACTCATCAAAGGCAGAACGCCTTCTCCTTAACCAAATCCTGATTTCTCTCGGTGGCAACATAGCCTCTCCTGATCCTGCAGACTCAAAACTTACGACTTTTCCTGTACTTCCTCCTCTTCTTCAGTGGGTACATCCCACCTGTCACCAATGACAACCAGCGCCACTACCACTATTATTTGAGACCAACTTCCCCCTGATAGCAGGTTCATTGTGTCTAGTGCTGTATCCTTGTTCTCCCTGTAAGTTCAGTTCAGTTGCTCAGTCGTGTCCGACTCTTTGCGACCCCATGGACGGCAGCACAGCAGGCCTCCCTGTCCATCACCAACTGCCGGAGTCTACCCAAATTCATGTCCATTGAGTCGGTGATGCCATCCAACCATCTCATCCTCTGTCGTCCCCTTCTCCTCCTGCCCTCAAACTTGCCCAGCATCAGGGTCTTTTCCAATGAGTCAGCTCTTCGTTTCAGGTGGCCAAAGTACTGGAGTTTCAGCTTCAACATCAGTCCTTCCAATGAACACCCAGGACTGATCTCCATTAGAATGGACTGATTGGATCTCCTTGCAGTCTCCCTGTCCACTCATGTATAATATGCCTTCCCAGTCCTCTCTGCCTATCTCAGTGCTGTGACCACAGAGGGTGTATGTCTGCCTCCTTGATGAAAACATCTTGCCTCTGATGACTACTGAACATTTATGTTTAAAAGTCACATTTTGGCCACTAATTATAAATTGCTTTGCATTTCGCTCTGCTTATTTCACAAGTCCTGTCCCCGCCCCACCCCGATATAGTATTATAAGCACCTAGACAGAAGGAATAACATAGTACTGGGCAGTACTGGGGCACTGTGAGCCTCAAATACTAGTCAGTGTTCCTGGGCGTGGATGGACACGGTATGCTGAGTAGACAAACAAAAGGCCATATAAACATGGGTAGAGAGTGGTTCATTCTTTGGGTAGATTAGATAGCTGTTTGTTATTTTGTTCAAAGCCTTTTTTTCCATTTAGCAGACACAACTATTCTGCCTCTCTTCCCTGTCCCCCGCCCCACAGCTTTGGAAAGGAGCGATCCAAGAAAAGAAAAACAGTAAATAGGAATGTCAAAAAGAGAGTCAAGTCTGAATTTTGAATACAGAAGAAATTGGTGTGTTCCCCCCGCCCGCCTTTGAAGTAGAAACCAGCGTTGAGGGTTTTAGGGCCATCTCAACTTCACAGGTAGGCCCTGGCAACAACTAACAGATTGTCACACTGACATTTACATGTTTTGAAGGAAGAGCAAATGTTTACTGGTTACCCTGACTTTGAAAGGAGATACTGCCAGCAGAATAGAGGGCCAACCAATTGGATGGGCTAAGTTAGGAAGAATCACTACCAAGAGACCTGTGAACCTCTGCGAAATATTCTTAGAGGAAGGGCACCACGTGTACCACTGTGACCCACAGGACAACATGCTGGACGTTGGTGGGGTGAGCTGGGGACAAGCCCCAGCACACAGCCCTGGACTCCCACTCAGAGATGCGTGATGGCCCAGTGGAAGGCAACTGCAGGGATCAAGGGACTGAGAAGCTGCCCTGTGAATGCAAATCAACGAGAACCTCAGCTGAGAAACGCAAAGGCTCAGTGAGAGGGATGAAGAGCAAAGCCCCGAGAATCACCGGGGAAGGCAATGGCACCCCACTCCAGTACTCTTGCCTGGAAAATCCCACAGACGGAGGAGCCTGGTAGGCTGCAGTCGATGGGGTCGCTAAGAGTTGGACACGACTGAGCGACTTCACTTTCATTTTCACTTTCATGCATTGGAGAAGGAAATGGCAACCCATTCCAGTGTTCTTGCCCAGGGACAGGGGAGCCTGGTGGACTGCCGTCTATGGGGTCACACAGAGTCGGACACAACTGAAGCTACTTAGCAGCCCTAGAATCACAGGTTGTATGAACGGAACACAGTCTCCCTCGAGGTGATCCTTGGGACGCTGGCCCCTAACTTTTTCTTGGTCAAGTAAGTTTGGGAATCTTAGGGAAGCATAAAGTACCTAAGGATAATAAAAGCTCTGACAAGTTATGCAGTCACGAAACTTTAACATTCTCCCCAATTTATCTGACTAGAGAACATTCTTCTCTATAGACAGTTGTGCATAAACTTTAGGGCCCTGTGAACTAAGATGAATCTCTGAAAACCTCGAGATAAACTTAGGTACAAAGTGCAATACAACACACAGAACATAACCCTGTTCCACTCAACTCAAGGAACACTACAAGATGCAAATTCAAGTGGACTCAAACAAGTGTTTACAGGGACCTCCCTGGCAGTACAGTGGTTAAGAGTCTGTGCTCCCAATTCAGGGCGCATGGGTTCCATCCCTAGTGGGGGAACAAAGGTTCCTGCATGCCTCACGGTGTGGCCAAAAAAAGTGTTTATATTCCTTTATTACCCATGAATGTAGGGCTTCCCAGGTGGCGCTCGTGGTAAAGAATCCACCTGCCAATGCAGGAGACGCAAGAGACGTGTTCAATCCCTGGGTGGGGAAGATCCCCTGGAGGAGGAAATGGCAACCCACTCTAGAATTCTTGCCCTGAAAACTCCATGGGCCGAGGAGCCTGGCAGGCTACAATCCATGGAGTAACAAAGAGTTGGACATGACTGAACGACTGAGCATACCCATGAATACACTAAAAAAGATTTCCCCTTTGGGGGTTACCTTGATGGTAACCTGAATATGACCAGGGACCACACTGGCCTAGATAAACTATTTCTTAGTAAGGTGGTTTGTAAACTATTTTAAATAGATGACAGATCACAAAGAAGGATTTCCTTAGGTATGTAAGTACAACCATTATTTTTCATGTATAGAATGAATTATTGTCTCTTTTAAAAAATTTATAATTTGCTTTAACTTCCAGGTGTTTGAACAGCTTTCAAACATGAATCAGTCGAATACATTTATTTTATTTGAAGTGAATTAATAAACTCATCTAATTACAATGAGTGAAGTTATTAATATCAAGAATGCCAGCCCTGGAGTCAGCCTGGCCTGTATATGAATGCTGGTTTTGCCACTTACTGGCTCTGTGACCTCGGATAAGTTAAGCTCTCTACACTCCAGCTTTCTAAAATGTTAAATGAGATAAAGAACATATTGATCATGATTGTCAGCACTTAGCAGTTTCTACATGTCTTATATATATTGACACTTGCCATCTTCACAATCACTCATGAGATACTATGATTACCTTCACTTAAAGATGACAGAAGTTAAGGCACAGAGAAGTTAGCTAACTTGCATAAGGTAACACAGCTAGGAAGTTGCAGACGCCGGTTCCAACTGGGGCAGTTTACACATATGAGACATAGAGATGCTTCGTAGTCTAGCACATAGTAAACTTGACATGTTGTTTTTTTTCTGCTCCAATTAAACTTTAGAGCTGTCTAATGCACCCATGAGCATTATAAAAGAGACTGTCAATGTTGAATGTGAGATTGACTAACACCAACCACAGACAAAAGGTGTTTTTCTTCTCTTTTAGTGCTGCCTAAAAGTGGTTATAAACGGAAGACGTCCCATCAGAAAACATAATAACAACAGCCATTCGTGCACCATCAGCTCAGGGCACACTAGCCGCGAAGAGCAATTGAAAAGAATACATGCTGTAAAATCGAAGCTTAAGAGCAAAATTGGATAGGTGGAGTATAATCGCACACTTGAAATGTCGTCCCTGCTTCATCATTAGCAAAACGAATAGTGGAAGGATCTGTAATATGATTCTTAAACTTTAGGTAAACAATGGAGGTTGCTGGCATGGATGTTCCTGATAGTTCCACGGGACGTTGGCCCTATTTGTGGGGAGATTGGGGTTGGAACTGACTTGGGAGAAGAGCAAAGCATCAACACGTCCTCCAGCAGCACCCTGGGCGTGTTCCCTTTCCAGTACTGGCCTGTTTGCCTGGCTCCCAGACTACACACGAAACCGGTCAAACCAACAGGCACTGACCGGCCATAGCGGCAGCACCGCATAGATTGTCTTTGATTTAGACTCATTCGAGAACCTGCGTGTAATTTCTAGCCTTGGCAGTTGGGAGATGCGTACTTTCCCTTATGGCGTGTTTATCACACCTCCAAAGAAAATGACTTTTACATATAATTTCACCGGGTCTGATATCACCGAGACAAGGCGAGCTGAGGAAACTCGTGCGTATCTGCGGCGATCTGAGACACATCCGACCTCGAATCGAAACTTGAGTTCCCCTTTCCCTTTCCCTGTATCAAACACAGAGATACCTAAAAGCCTTCGGAGAAAGTAGCAGCCACCAAGCTTAGGAGTGATACTTTTCAGATACAGTGTAGCACTGTTTCTGCCAAGAGGTTACTCACATGAATATAGTGTTTCTTGGGCTAATTAATCCGCCTCAAGAGCAGCGAGGCTACAACTTCAGGTCACCCACCCCGGGCCACTCAAGCCGAGATCGGGACGTGAGCCCGGGGCGAGCCGAGGCGCATTCCGAGCCGAGGTCACCAAACCGAAGTTACGGGGCGCGGGCTGGTTACCGGAAGTGGTCCAGTGAAAGAGTGGTCCCAAATTCAGGGCCCCTAACTTGGAAACAAAATAAAAGAAAACCTTAACTCGGGACCCAATTTCCAAAGAGTGTCCCCTGGGCGCGAGAAGGCCGGCGGGGGCAGTGATGCCACTGGCGGGAGGTCCCCGGAGCGTGTAGGCCGCGCACGGCTCTTCTCGGCGGGCGGGCAAAATGGGCGCCGGCGAGCAGGAGGCGCCGGCCCGGCCGTACGCCCGTTCCTCACACACCACGTCCGCCCGCGGCCAGACAGCG